TTCCAAGAAAACTGTTAAGATTTTTAATCTTTCAGATACAGTGTTTTTTAGCTAGAAATTTCACTTGTTTAGGAGATAACACTTCCTTTCACTGGAGAAATGAGATATTAGAGAGTTTCTGTAACTTTTATGGTTCTATTTTCAATATCAATCTACCAACCAATCAGATTCAGGTAGTTACAGAAACATAGGTCCTGGTCTTAGTTTAGATTTGGATAAATACTTAAGGATTTCAGAATGACAAGATCCAGCTCTGTCACTCCATAGTAAGCAGTTCAACATCTAGGCATTGCTGATATGTTGTCCTTATCAATGCTCAAAACTAAGGGCAGGAGCTTAAGTACGGTGCTTCATTAGTGGGAAGAAAACACCATCAAAAATGAATCGAAGTCCAAAATATCATCTGGACAGGACACTAGTGTAGGCTTTAAACCTAGTCTGTGTTCCCGCTCCTGATTTTGTGGCTCACGATTATACACGGCATTTAAAAACTGAAACGAAGGCTTGGGGCGGGGGTAGCTTTACATTACAAGGTCCCATGCCTGCATCAGGCTTTCACTACACTCAGGCCCTATCACCTATACCCAGCGTGGCTGATGGACTTCAAACTGTCAGAAGTTACCACACACAGATGATAAATAAGGGTTTGCTTACCCTAGGCCTAGTAATTTTCTACAAAGTAGGTCTACATAAGAAGAAAAAAAAGGGTTTAAATGAACTTTTCGAAGTATTTCTCCCAGTACTGACACTGAGCTCTTCTCAGTAGCTAAATCTGGAATGCTTACTGTATGCGAGATTCTATACTGCTTACTAATTTATAAGAGCAAAAAAAAAAATTGCTGGTACTTATCTCTGTTCATTTCTTTCACCACAACAGCCCAAACAAAACAAAACAGGCTTTCCACCTAAAGTGCTCTGACCTCCTTTTCTAATTATAGTGGGGGTGAGGCACTACCTACAACCAAGTTCTACAAGAGGCAGAGGTACAGGATTCTAGTTTTTACCATTAGCTAGCAGTACTAACTTGAACAAAACATTTCCCCATGTCTCATTTTCTTCATGCCTCAAATAACACTGAAAATTTAACCTTTTAAGAGGCAACTCAGGTAACAGATGAACTATTCTGAAATGTAAAAATTATAAAACTTAAGGTAAAAACCAAATATAAGAACACTATTCTTGATGCTTGGCAAGTAATCCAGAATAAAGAGCATGGATTTGATTTTATGTTAAAAAGACATCCTTCAGTGTGTGGAGAAATTCCAAAGTCTTTATCAATTCTAAAATTGGAAGGTGGAAGTGGTAAAAACCATAATGCAATAGCAGAATTATTTGAACATAAAGTGACAAGGCAAGTAAGGGACGACATTACCCTTCACGCAACCTAACGGGTACAGCATAAACTGAAAGAAGAAAAAAACAATACCAAGTAATTTTTTTTGTTTGGAAGATGGAACTTTGCAGGTAGCTGGCTATGACAAAAACCCGAGAAATGAGGTAATCTATCTTCATTAAAGGGCTATGTTCCTACAATACACTTTGCCAGTAGGAACCTACTGAATAAGGATGCAACCTAGAGGGGCGCCTGGGTGGCTCAGTCGTTAAGTGTCTGCCTTTGGCTCGGGTCATGATCCCAGGGTCCTGGGATCGAGCCCCGCATCAGGCTCCCTTCTCAAAGGGAGGCCTGCTTCTCCCTCTCCCACTCCTCCTGCTTGTGTTCCCTCTCTTGCTGTCTCTCTGTCAAATAAATAAATAAAATCTTAAAAAAAAAAAAAAAATGCAACCTAGAGAATGGGTTTAGTAGCTTGGCCGGACATCTCTCTCCTCCAAGGAAAGGTGAGCTACAGAGCTGCCAAACCATCCAGTTCAGAGGAAAAAGGCAGACTTACTCAGAAAGATGTGCGCTGTTAACAGGGAGGCCACAAGTACTTCCATTCAGTAATTACCTTCCTGATTTTCAGTTTAGTGTATAAGCACCTCTAACAAGATAAAGGATTCATTTTATGGAAAATCAGAAATGCTTTCCACTTTGCTCACCACAATAAAAAGAAAATTCTCAATTATCCCATAATGGAGAATGGGAGAAGCAGACAATAATGGATGACCCAAACTAGCAGTCTGTATAAAAACTCCCACATGGCTTGGACATAAACTATAATTTTAAATATCTTTAGGCTAAAAATTCTTTTCATGTTCTTTGAAATAAACTTTGAGCCTTTAAGTATAAAGCAGCAAACGCAAGTAGGACAGCAGTAAGGGATTTTAAAACACACTATAAACAGTTAATGATTATTAATAAGTCTCAAGCCAAAGGCTGTCTGAGCCTCAGTTTCCGCATCTGCAAAATATGACTAATAATAGTACTTTTATCAGCAGATACAAGTAAAGAATCTCTAGCACACAGTAGGCACTCAATAAATTTTGATTATCATTCCTATTTGGAGTTTTCCTGTTAGGAAAAAACAATCATCAAACTAGAGATTATTAATGACAGTATTTCGTAAGTATGCTGCAATCCTCTACGCCCACCATTCTTTGGATTTAGTTTTCCTTACATCTTAAATTAACAAGGGCACATCAGTTACATTTATTTCAGCTCTTTTTTCTATCAATATGTAAAAATAAAATAGATAAAAAATTAAGGCCTTTTTGTTTTTGCCATTCAACCTGTTTCACTGCAAAGTCCCAAACTTTCCCCAAGGGAGGATGGGAGTTTAGGGGCTATTTCCAAAGTGGTAAAAATAAAAATGGGAAAAAAACCAGATCCCTACATTAGTAGGTTAGTAGAGTGGGACTCCCTAGGATAGTATGACATTAAAACTTAATGCTTAAAAACACTTTAAACAAAGGACTCTGTATAATGTGTCCAATTAAGTATGTGATGTGGTTATTCGTTAGTTATGAGATTTCAAAGAATTGATCACAAATCTACACAAACTTTCATCTGGAAGTTAAATGAACATACAAAGCCCATACTTTTCAACTCAGTATGTGAAAAGTTTTCCAAACATGCAAAGAAGGAGATGTGAGAGTAGTTGGTGACTATGTGATAAACACATACAAAAGCACACCAACACATTCAAACTTGTATTTTTAAGATGCAAATAAATAGGCCTCAGAAAAATATACTCAATGTATTCAAAATCCTTTAAATGCCTCTGAAAGGAAGTTAATTTCTCTCCCATTAAGTTATTCGGGATAGTCTTATAAAGATAACCTGTGGGCAATATAACTCTAATTTACAATTTTTCAATTCAAATTGAAAATCAATGTCCCTAGAGTCTTTAATTACAGCAGGGTGAGTCTTGTTTGTTTTTCATGAAATTGGGAGTTCTGGGTTGAAAGTCCAATTAAAATTCCTTGAGACGAGTTTGTAATAATTCAGATACAGAACAACTACAATTGTAACAAACAAATAGCTAGAGTGAAATTATAGACTAATGTAACAAGACAGGTTTTCCAATTCAGAAGAAACAATTTGGAAATACTTTCACGTGATGTGAACATTTTAAGGGAAATTCAAGGTATGTCACAGAGGGAAGTGGCAAACCCTAAAGAAAGTTTTGAAAAATGTGAAACACTTATTTTCAAACGACTGGGTCTTTGAACCGTAAGGGCTATTTCAAAATATGCGAAGCATAGGCACTACAGCAAATACCAAAGGTTTTAAAGTTATCTGCCAACTTCTCCTCACCTGTTAACTGAACCAAATTGTGATTTTTCACTTAAGTAATCAAAAAAGCTCGCATAAAATAGTTCCACACTTGCAAGACGTTTACACAAACTGTACACAAAATTCTGCATTAGTGAAAAAGACAACACTGGGAAACACAAATCTATCTTCTCAAGATAAAGAAGCATTTTCTCTGCCGAATGCAGAGTTGCCAGATCCATGAACCGGTGTTGCCAACTTGCAACAGGATCAAAAAAATGTAGCAGAAAAACAGTTTTAAAAGGGCGGGGGGGGGGGGGAGGCCACAGCAAAACGTTCTCCAAAGAGTGAAACACCTAAGAACTTTCTTCGCTCCGAGAAAGTTTCACGCCTGCTTTACAGATGAACTAAGGCAGAAGATCGGATTAATCAGTGCCTTTCTCAAGGTCACTCTAGTGCAAAAGAACAGCACGGTCCGGGCTCCCGATCCTAGGCCCCCGACCTCTCCACACGCCCAGACGGCACAGCTCAAACGTGCTGGGCTCCCCTCGTCCCCGCAAGTGCACCCAGGCGCTGGCAAGAAAAAGACATTTCCAGCGCTCTCTATGCAGCTCACTCCGAGAGGACTGGGGTGCTGGTGGCCCGCCCTCCCCCAGAGCGGCAGCCGCCCCCAGCCCCAGCCGCCCCCTCCGTTCTCTTAGAAGACCAGTGGCCCCCCAACAACCAGGTATGTGGCCCGGAGCCGTGGGGGAAGGCAAGGGTCCCGCCGCAAGGGGCTTCACTTACCATCGCTCTCGGCCCTGACGAGCAGGGACATGCCCTTCAGCCGCTCCACGTAGCCGGACGACACATGCCCGGTGCCCCGGTCGTCCCACTGCCGGTCCTCGTTGAGCGTGTAAACCTTCACCCGCCGCCGGGTGTCGGTCATCGTGCCGCCCGGGGGCCGGGGCAGAGGCCCCGGTGGAGTCGCCCAGGAAGGGGGGCCGGGACACGCGGGAGCCAAGGCGGGAGGACGCCCGCAAGCGGAGGACTCACGGGCCTCACTGCCGCCGCTGGCCGCCGCGGGACCGCGGGACCGCCCGCATGGCCCGCTCCCGGGCCCGACCTCTGGGCCCCGGTCTTTCCTCGCCTCCGACTCCTCAGCGCTATTGTCCAAGCCCGGCGAGCCCGGCCGCCCCGAAGAGGGGCGCGCAGCGCTTCACAGCCTCCCGGCCCGATGCGGCAGGAACTCGGAGCGCCGGTCACTGCCCTGCTCCTGCCTCCGCCATGATCTCCGCGAAGCAGCTTCCCGCGCCGCCGCCGCCTCCTCAGGCCGCCGCCGCCATGTTTTCCTTCCTTATACCTGGCCCTGCCACCGCAGCCAGTGGCTCCGCTCCGCTCCTCTGCTTCAAACGTCCCAAGCCGAGGGGCGTCTGCTCTTCCTGCAACTGCTACCACTGCGCAGGAGACTGCGAGAGCCCCCAGGCGCACAAGCGCTCCTGCCTCCTGGAAGTCCCTTTCCCTTGGCCGCCGCCGCCGCCGCCTCTTCCGTCTTCCTCACACAGCCAAAGCCGCCGCCATCTTGGTTCGCCCCTCAATAGCGGCGCGCGGGGCCACCCAGGCAGCAGCTGCAGGGGCGGCCCGTTGGCCCCACCATTTAAAGAGACAGGAGCGAGGTCGGGAGCCTCGCTGCGGCGGAGGCTTCGGACGGAGGCGGGAGGCGGGCGCCGAGCCGCCGAGGTGGCGGGAGCGCAGGGAGCGGAGGAGGCGGAACGCTGGTCGCGCCGGTGACGGCCCGGGGCTCCCTCGCGCTCCCTGCACGCACCGTCGTGCGAGCGCGGGGCGGTGTGTGCGCCGTCGCGCCCTGTGTTCGTCATCAGCCCCGCTCGGGGATTCGAAAGGGGCGTGGAGCCCGCCTCCGGCCTCGGCGCGCCTACCCGCCGCGCGCCTGGCGTCTCCGGCTCCGAGGGCGGCCGTCTTCCCGGTTCCTCGCTGTCCGGCAGCCGCAGCCCCTGCCTGCCCTACAGGCGCCGGGCTACGTCGCCCTCGGGCTCTCCCGCGGCACCTCCGCCTCCCTGTCCACGAGTGTCCTCTCCTGGGCGCCGGAGCCTCGCGGACTTGGGGCGTTTCTCCTTCGCGGAGAAAGTGAAAAGCTTCCGGGAAAGGCCGCAGGTTTGCGTGGCGAGGGCAGCCGCACGTCTTGGGAGCCGCAGTGGGGCACGCACTGGTATGGCGAGTCTAGAAACGGGACCGCTGGCACCGAGCCCGAAGTGACAAGTCTAAAGCCTCACCTTACAGTCCAGCTGCTGCCGCCATTCCTTTTATTCTTTATCAGAACTGTTCTTTTCTAGTCCTCCATGTTGCAAAAAAAAAAACTTGAAGGGCTCACGAAACCAGACACGGATATGATATTGTATAATCGGGATGAGTAATTCTCAACGTGAGATGTTAAGCACTGCTAATCTTCACAAAGGAGTCAATCTCATTCCAAATTCTCATTCACACGCAAGTAAGAGCCGCCGTTTTAGGGGCTTTTAATATTTACGAGGCTGTCGAGGTCATTGCTGCCCACTAGAAATAAAATGAGCCACATGTAATTTAAAATTTTACAGTAGCCACTTTTTGAAAAAGTACAAAGAAACTGCTGAAACGTATTTTAATGAGGTATTTTATTGAATGCAGTATCTCCAAAATATTAATCATTAATATAAAATTAACGATATTTTACATTCCTTTTTTTGTACAAAGTTCAAGATGCGATGTGTATTTTACCTCTGGCGTAAATTTCTACTTGGAAGCCAAATTTTCGTTGGAAATTCCTAGTGTGTATTTAGTTTATTAAATTTACAATTGGAAAAGTAGATTCACATATTCAAGTTATTCAGTTTTTTTCCAAAAACATTAGTTTTTAAATGTAAAATTTAAAATTAAAGGTTAATACTCAGTTCCTTATTCACACTAGCCACATTTCAAGTGCTCAGTAGCCACATGTGTTTAGTGGCCACCATTATGGCAAATTCAGGTGCTTTACATCACCAGGAATCTCATCTGAAACCTGCAAATGCAGTTTGACTTACACCCATCTATCACGAAGAGGCCCTGACGGCATGACCAGTACTGACGGGTTTCCCAGGATGTGGCATTTTCTGTTTTAAAATCAGAAGTTGGGGCCTGCCTTCCTCACTGCCAAATACAAAGAGGTGCTTACAAAGAACAGTTGGAGACTTTCATTTTTTGCAAACAAAAGGGGAAAATTATAAAAATAAAACAGTTGTCTCTAAAAAGTAAAACAGTAATTTCAAGCATCAGGGCATGACGGCAATTTTGTCCACTTTTGATGCAGTAAGACATCATTAAATTTATTTATATTATTACTTGATCCCCAAACCAAACGTCAAATAATTTGTGGAAAAAATCAACTGGATACACTGCCATCACTCTTACCTTCATTCTAAAACTCTCTCTACATTCTAGCTGGTGGTGCTGTTGTCTAAGTAAATATACAATCTAGCCAACCAAAATGTTTTTATTTCTACTATTTGCATTTCTCCCCAATCTAAGTAAGAGAAAGAACTTGAGCCCCTTAGAGAAAACCCCTCTCCTGAAAATCAGCCCTTGTCATGATGGCAGGTGTTGGTAGGAGGGAACCTGCGGAGTGGAACACTATAAAACTGGTGTCTAGGGGCGCCTGGGTGGCTAAGTTGGTTAAGCATCTGCCTTGGGCTCAGGTCATTATCTCAGGGTCCTGGGATGGGGCTCCGCGTTGGACTCCCTGCTCAGCGGGGAGTTTGGTTCTCCTTCTCCCTCTCCACAACCCCACTTGTGTTCTCTCTCACTTGCTCTGCTCTCTCTCTCTCTCTCTCTCAAATAAACAATCTTAAAATAAAACTGGTATCTACTCAGGAGGCAGGTGCTATGATGTACAATGTGCTCCTTGAGTGGATTCTTTCATAGCCAAGCCAACTTCCCAGGTAAGAACAAGCCAAGCACTTGAAAAAAGAGGTCTAGAATGAACTAAATCATGGTCTATAAAAAGCCATTAATGTCCTGTCACCATGCAAATCTGTCTTGAAAAAGAAGACCCAGCTCCCGAGACTGCTTTCGATCTAGGGGAGGAAAATCAGGTTGGGGAGAGGGGAGAGGTGACTGATGCCAATATAGCCTTTCCTTGTTCTCTACCACAGCTGACAAGTCTCCTCTTTCACGCTTTTTCGAGACCGTGTCAAAGAGTGCTTTATTTGGTTGAGATGCATGGGTAGTTAATGAAGATTTGAAATGAGGTGTCTGCAAAACAAGTTAGTCCAGAGCCATTTTCTAATACTTCAGATAAAAATTTGAGTCATTTTCACTTTTTTCCCCCCACCTTTGTACTTAGTCCCTCACCAAGGCCTGCTGACTTTCTTCTCTTTCATATCCCCTGGATTTGATTCTGCTGTTTTATTTCTTTGGTCATCACCGTAAGATTTGTTGTACCTGAAATTCTCCAACTCAGTTACAAAAGGTGACTCCAGAAACTGTTGATACTCTGAAATGGAATGGCTCAGAGCCCTGTGAAGACCATTCCCAGGCACTAGCAGAATATAGCAGCATTAGCGTCAGCATTCATATTAGTTTGCAGGGCAATGAAGAACCCAGAGACTTCTTTCAGTCGGCCTGCTACCAAGAGAGTCTCCTGCCTATCTCCCAAGCCTTCATGCAGGACATTCCATGCACCCAGAAGTAAAAGCAAGCATTCCTGAAGACTGGCCAAAGGAAGTAGTTATAGCAATAAAGAGAAAGAGGAGATTGGATATTGGAATTATCCATGGGGAATGTCAGCATACACATGCTTTCTCAGTTTTGTACATTTCCCTCAGCCCCTTTCTGCTGTTTGCTAGGTGTTCAAATAGCTCTAGCTCTGCATATTATTCAGGTGATGCCCAATGTGGCAATCATGCCTCACAGACCTCTTTTTATTTTTTTTAAGATTTTATTTATTTGAGAGAGCACGAGTGGGGGGAGTGGCAGAGGAACAAGTAGGCTCCCTGCTGATGTGGGGCTCAATCCCAGAATCCTGACATCATGACCGGAGCCAAAGTCAGACGCTTAACTGACTGAGCCACTCAGGTGCCCCCCCTTGCAGACCTCTTTTTACAAGCAACGTAATTCACCCAGGACCCCAGCTGCTGCGCTCTGAAATTTATCACTGTGCCTGCTCCCCACCAATGACTGGATTCAACAGGATACTAAGGCAGGTATTCCTGGGAAACACCTCTTCTGTAGGCTAACTTGGGCTCAAGGACTCCAGCAGCCTTGTCAAACTTTCCTTAGGGTGCACTACATTCTAGAATGCTTCCATCCAACCTTCTCTCTCTCTTAACTTCATTCAGAGTTGAACTCATGCCTCTCCCAGCCATTCTGGCTCTCTATTTCCTTTTACATAAGTGTTTTCTCTGATAAAATCCTTACATGCTTAATCTCATCTTGGTGTGTGCTTTTTGGAGGACACAGACTAGCGCTAAATTCAGCTCTTAGGCACAGTAAGTCTTTAAATGTAAAAAGAGATAAATCCTGATTTATCCACAATATAAGATTTTAACTGTGGGACACCTGGGTGGCTCAGTTGGTTAAATGTCTGCCTTTGGCTCAGGTCATGATTGGGATCGAGTCCTGCATCGGGCTCCCTGCTCCGCGGGAAGCCTGCTTCTCCCTCTCCCTCTGCCTGCCGCTCCCCCTGCTTGTGTTTTCCCTCTCTCTGGCAAATAAATAAAATCTTAAAAAAAAAAAAGATTTTGGGGTGCCTGGGTGGCTCAGTCGTTAAGCGTCTGCCTTTGGCTCAGGTCACGATCCCACAGTCCTGGGATCGAGCCCCGCATCGGGCTCCCTGCTCCTCGGGAAGCCTGCTTCTCCCTCTCCCACTCCCCCTGCTTGTGTTCCCTCTCTCGCTGTGTCTCTCTCTGTCAAATAAATAAAATCTTTAAAAAAAAAGATTTTAACTGGAAATGAGAAAACTAAAATTAACTTACACATAACTACACTTATGTTGAGGCCTGCTGGATTATATACTGAGAGTTGATATGTATGTTCTTAATGTATTTGATTTTTATAATGTTTGCTAAGTTGTACAGAATGAGAAGAATGTTTCTAGTACAACTATCACTTTGTTCCTTCTAAGATTTTTCCTAAGAATTCTGATTTCTCTCTAATATGAAAGGTTTACAATACAAAAAGAGATTGTCTTTTTTCAAATTTACATCTGCTTGAGTCTTAAGAAGGACTTCAGGATGAAAAGATCATGTATAGCCTCCCTGCTCTCATCTGAGTAGACCAGATTCCTCTTAGATCATGTCAAATCTGGATTTTTTTTTTAAATATCTGACACTTTACTCATCCCTAAAGGGGCTGAGTTGTGTTAGTTTCACATCTTTGGTGACCAGATCACAAGGGCTCCTTATTTGTAGGAAGTGCTTCATGATAGATAATTTTTTCAGATTATTTGGCAGAGAAGAAATAATATAAGTGTATTTTGATTGTAAAAATGCATCCATACACTCCTTATTCTCAACTGGTTTTTCCGCCTTTTGATAACCAGAAAGGTAGTATAGGTGGCCAAGTATGATGGTATCAACATGAAACCATGAAAGGTATTTATTTAGCTATATTTAAATCAGAAATAAAATGTTTGTGACTTAGTTTTTGTCACTCCAAATATTCTAACTTTGTATTTGAGAATTATATGGTTATACTTAAGTGATGCAAAAATTCTGTACCTTATCCCTTGGCCATAGTGGTTAGGTTAGTACTTGACAAAAGCCAGGACAATCGAAATGTTGCCTGGATTTTTCAGACTATCACTGAGAAATACTCTTACCTCCTGAACATGACAACTAGAAAGGTGTGGTATAGGGCTGCCTATCCCCAGGTTCCCTGCCCCTCTACCCCACCCCCAATGTAGATAAATATGTCTGCATCAGAGAGAATGAAGCAGAACATTCTTTTGGGAGTCCAGTTATCTCCCAAGCCAGACCAGGTTTGTTGAGGTTCTGAGATCTGTTAAGAAGGGAGATGAATACAGGTTGCCTGAGTCGCTCAGTTGGTTAAGCCTCTGACTCTTGAT